TTTTAATGTAATTATATACTAACTCTATAAAAGTTCTTTGTTCTTTTTTTTTATTTTCTATTTTTACTTTTTTTATTTGTAATTTATTTAAAATATCGTTTACACGATGTTCAAATAATCTATCAATATATTATTAAAATTTATAATTATTTTTATTATTAAATAAAGTTTATTTATAAATTAGAAAAAAAATGTCTGATGTAAATTCGATGACAAATTCTTCTGCTGCAAGTGAAATTTTGGAGCGATTAGATGCAGAAATCATTTTAATAAAACAAGGAAAAAATATAAACGATGGTTTGATTGTTATTAGAAATATAACACAAGAAATTTTTGATTATCATAATAAGATGTTTGAATTAAAAGAACATGAGATAACCATTCATAAATCACTCACATATGAATATTATCAAGAAGCACAGTTTTTTAGATATTATCTTTATAAAGACTTAATGGAAACAATTATATGGTGGTATATTATTCTTTTAGATAAAGTTGTTGATTATGTTTTAAATATTAAAATAGTAAAAAAAATTGTCGAAGAAATCAAAAAAAAAATATCTGGCTGGGTTTTGCATATTATTCAAACACAAGATGTTTTTAAAAAGTTTCACCCCAAAAATTGGTTTTATGTAAAATATATTTTTAAAAATTTTGTTCTTCCTCTTTTGTTTATTCCTATATACTTATTTAGAATTCCCGTAGCAAAGGCGTTTTTAGATCTTATTTTGGTTTTATTCATTTTGATAATTTTTTTTGTATACTATACGAATATAGTTTTTAATTTTCAATATAAAATCATCATATTAAAGAATAATTTTAACAAGATTTTGTTAAAAAATACAAAGTACGTTTATTAAAAACTATTATTTTTATTTTTATTTTTTTTAATTTTTAATCTTATAATTGTTAATAGATGTCTACGAAGATTCTGGTTCTGGTGAAAAAATAGTTATAGAAGTTTCTGGAGATGATAATGTAAGAAAAAAAATTATTTCTTATCTTAGAAGTGGCAAAATCGATTATAATTATCAAATTGAGTCAAATTTTTTCACATCTGAAAAAATTAAACATAATGAAATAATTCATATTTGGGAAGAATATGGTAATGAAGATAATAAGTTAAAATTTAAACTTATGAAATCATCAAAAAAAAGTCATTTAAAAAAAACAAAGTGTTGCTGGTATTACTTGTGAAAAAGGAAGTGGAAAGGTTCTTAATGCTTTTTTATTATGTTTTGTTGAAGATGGTGAAGATGTTAATTATGGTTCGTTAAAAGGGAGGGTTGTTCTTAAAAGTACTGATAATGAAGCGATTGAAAAAATTAAAGGACATCCTGAAGAATTAGCAGCGGCAATTTTTTCAAAATCTCATAGTGATTATG